GTTTATTTATTTTTATAGTGCCTTTCACTGAAATAAATTCACAAGGTGCTGTACATTCAGCGAAGGGTGGAGGGGACAGTTAAGAAACGCCCATTCAAGAGGACATACAAGACAAACATGGGGGAACAGGTGAAACCGGTCATGCAGCAAACACAGTTGCGCTACGTTTAACAACAGCTTGAAATACACAAAAGGAAAATTGAGTTAAACAAATTATTCATTATATTAGTTTAAAATGGTCTCCAAACAATACTATCGTTTATCGCAATATTTTCTGAGACAGTTTATTGTCCAGCAAAATTTCTTATTGTGACAGGCCTACAGCTGCATAATGAGTCATTCAATGTTTAAAACATTAAGAAATTTAAGAAATGCATCCTATATAGGAGTGAGTTTTGAATGTTTTATTCTTTATCTAGTATAATAAAGTAATCAACAGCACATCAGACTGTCAGTTTTTTACTTTTCCCAATTTCCTTCACATTATAATAATAGATGTTTTATGGTAGGTAAAATCGAGTGTATATCTACTGAATCCATCTACTTGTTTCTTTTTTGTCTTTAAAGGTCAGAAACTCTGAGAAATGTTCCTTTAAAGTTATGGACTTTGTATATGAAAGCTTGACTGTACCCAGTAGTGTCTAAACTAGATTAATGTGGCTCTGCTACATTCTGCTGTCCATCTATCTGCCCATCAGTTCTATTTGATGTGTTCAATGCACCATTGAAAAAAAAAATAGACAAAGAGACTCGGTTGAAAGGCACGGACAGTATAGAGGAGATTTGATAACTCATTGAAAAGCATCTTTTAGGCAGCAGGTTCTTAGCGGCTGTGTGGTGAAAGGCCTGCTGGGAGGTCTGACTGTATTAGTGGAGGTAGAGGCTCTTGTGTGCTGCTCAACTGGAAAACTGCAGGACAAAGACGGGGCACTGCCTAATCCCTGCTCGGCTGCAAAACAAAAGAGAAAGCTGCTGCTTTATCAAAACTACAAGGCATTCTGCGTGTCTGTGTTTGTGCGCGCGTGTGTGGATTTGTGCAACTTTTTTTATTTATTTATTTTTTCTTTGCAGCTGTGTTCAGACTCTGCCAAGAAAATGATTTATTCAATATTTGATGAAGTGGCAGCCAAGCTGTTAAAACCAATGCTGGAATGTGTTGTTTAGAACTACTTCTTGCTTCCTCCCAGTGATTTCTAAACATGTAAATCACCTTCAGTCGGGGGGGATAATAGATCTGCCAGAACTGCTTTTGCTCTCTGTGAAGTGACGTTTTGTAGCCGATGATGGATTTGATCCACTTACACGTTTGTGCTTTTCACAGCGAGTAGGTGGATTTAGATGTAGGAAGAGTGTTCTGGCTTCATAAAGTGTTATTGTATAATTATGTCCTGGCGTAATTTTTTTAAATGGTGTTATGTATGTGTTTTGCAGTCGTAATTATAAGTAATGAATTTGAGTGCTCGGTATAAAAATTGAATCCTGATGACTTCGCTGACTTGTCTACCCACTGGGATCAGGATGTCGAGGCCAAATGCCCGTGTGTGTGTATGTGTGTGTGTGTGTGTATGTGTGTGTTAACAGTGGCTGATAGGTGGTGGGTGGGGAGCTGAGCGAGGACACTTCTATTGTCTTGGCTGTCACGACTGGGCGACCCCGGAGCCCTTTAGAGGCCTCAAAGGCCCTAGAGGCCAGGCTGCAGCAATGAGCCRACAGGCCCCCAGGCCGTGAGAACCCCGGCTCCGGTCAATGAGTGCTGGGATCATAAGGACCCTGGGAGCAACTTGCTGGGCCATCTGGAAAAGACAGCAGAGACCCTGACTCACGGCTGTCACCTGAGGGAGACATAGAGATGTGGACACAGACGTTTCTTCCTCCGTTTCTGCCTTTTTGTCTCACACACACTCGCATTGGAAATGTTTTCAAGGAAAATCATGAGTAATTTGGGTAAAAAGCACCCACCTGTGTATGTATCTAAAATCTGTGGTGAAAATACCTCAAATGTGAGGGGAAAGTTATGTCTTTTCTCCACAAGCTTTTATTTTTATGTGAGGTTGAAAGTCTGATAAAAGAAACAGA